GCGGCTCCCATATCTATGGTTATAATCCAAAATTTGGGTTTCTGCATTGCACAAGGCAAGTAAGATCCTGCAGAAGGAAAATTAAATTCATTTTTTAATATGACTTTTGTAAACGGTACATCCTGATTGTGTTATGACTGTATTGCCTTTGTCTTCTACCACTATTTCTTTTTTATATCGGGGTGTTAATTTGTTGCCTAATCTTATTTATATCTTCGGAAGCTCTGGAAGGTACAATTTTTGCTTAAGTGTATTTTGAAAATTTATCTATTGCGGTTAACACTATTTTATTGCTCGTAAAGTAAAGATCTATGTGAACGATATGACCTGGATAACTGGGAATGGGCGTTGCTTTTAGAATTGGTTTTATCGGGTGTCTTTCGTATTTACAAGTATTTTCTAGGCAAATTTTACATTGTTTAGCGTTTTTTTATATTTTGGCGTTCATTTGCGGGAAAAAAAAACCTCTCTTCAAAAATTGTGTTTTATTTTCTGTAGGATTACTATGAGCTCTATTATGTTCATTAATAATTTCGCTTTCTAAGTCAGACTCACTTAAAATGTCTTTTATGAATTTTCCGATATAACATACCTTGTAATTACTAAAATGAACTTGATAAAAGGTTTGGGTTTTTCCTAAAATGCTGTCTTGAGTTTTTATACAATTCGTCACGGATGGATTGAGATATCTTTTTAAAAGTATGGTAAGACTTTCTTCTGTAAAATCTGGTTCGACTATTGTATGTCTATGATAGGTACGAAAATTTATTTGGAATTGATATGATGAAGTTTCTCCTAAGGAAATGAAAATTAGGTTCTTAAAAGCGTTAATTGGTGCGTCGCTGTAACGTATTAATGTCTGTGCGGAACTTTCATCGCTATGTTGTGTTGCTGTCATAGAGTTTATTTGTTGAGGTGGTCTAGATAATGCATCCGCTACCACGTTTGTGCTATCAGGTTTGTATTTAATTTCGTAATTATATTCTTCTAGTATTGATTTCCATCTCTTTAATTTACTATTGGTATTTTTATAGCTAAGTGCATAAGAGAAAGGTTGATGGTCTGTGGAGATTTTTACACTGCTTGGACCATAAAAATAATTTTTAAAGGTTTTTAAAGCTCATACTATGGCTAAGAGTTCTTTTTCGTTTGTAGCATAGTTTTCTTCTGCCTTCGTCAGTGTCCTTGAGATAAATGTTATCGGTTTATTGTCTTTTTCGAAGTCAGGATATTGTAGCATAACATCAGCGGAAATGAGAGAGTTTTTTAATTTATTGAATGCATTAATGGCGTCTTGATTAAGAGTGATTTTGATTTTGGATGAAAGATTTTTGGACATGAGTCCCTCCTCACCTTTTAAAAGTATTTAAGGGTTTGGCAAGTTTTGCATAGTCTTTTATAAATCGACGATAATAACCGGAAAGTCCTAAGAATAATCTAAGCTCTTTTATGGTTTGCGGTGGTGGAAATTTTAAAATGGATTTGATTTTTGAAGGGTTTGGCTTTATTCCGTTTTGAGAAATGATGAATCCTAGAAAATCTATTTCTGTTTTTAAGAATTCACATTTGTCAATTTAGATTTTCATATTAGCTTTTTCTAAAGTGTGGAAAATTGTATTAATATTTTCTAAATGTGATTTTTCATCTTGGCCGAAAATGATAATGTCGTCTACATAGACAAAGCATATTTTTCCGATATACTCAGAGAGTAATAGTAAATAGAGTCTAATGCTCTTTGAAAAATCGATGGGGCGTTTTTTTAAGCCAAAGGGTAATCTATTAAACTCGTATTTACCATTATTAACTGAAAATGCTGTCTTTGCAATGTCAGATTCGACTAATGGAATCTGGTGAAAGCTACTTTTTAAGTCAAGAATTGTAAAGAATTTGTTTTGCCTAATTGCGAAAGAACTTCGTTTATATCTGGGATAGGATAACGTTCGGCTATCGTAATTGAATTTAATTTACGGTAATCAATCACCATTTTGTATTTTTTTGTGCCAGATGCATCATTTTTTTTCGATACTATCCAGATTGGGGAATTATACCGGGATCGAGAAGGTCTTATTATACCGTCATCGAGTAATTTTGCTATTTGTTTTTCCACTTCGTCTTTGAGTGACATGTGATATGGGTAGTATCTAGAATATATTGGGTCTTGTGAGGTAGTTCTTATTTCGGCTTTTACTACGGTGGTGTATGTTAGCTTTTCCTCTGGTTCGGAAAAAAGTTTTGGGAATATATTGTATAAATTGCGAAGTTTTTTTAACTGTTCGGATGTAAGGTGGTCTGTTCTAATTTCGATATTCTTGACTGATTTGGTTGTTTGTTGTGTGATTACAATTTTAATTTAATTTTTTATTAGCATGTAATTTTTTGAGGTAAAAATTATTGTGTCTAATTGTTTCAGACTGTCATTACCGAGAATTCGATGGAAGAATATTAATGTCAGAAGAATAAACAATTTTAGGTTATCGTCTCTGAGTCCAAAAAGATTGATAAAAGTATGGTGGGTTATTTTTATATTTCCGCCCACTGAATTGGCATAAAAAATGTCGTTATTTGGAATAGGATTATTAATAAGTTGTGGTTGAATATAATTTTTATTTGACCCTGTATCTATTAGGATTTTTGAAATTTCTTCGTTACTACCTTTGCACTGAAAGTAGGGCAAAGTAGAATTCGTTAGCCCAAAAAATGGATATCAGAAAATTCTATTGTCTCCCTGTCTGTCATGTCGTCTTGAGAAGAATATTGGTTCCATATTCATTTATCGCTTAAAGTATTGTCTGCGGGTTCTATGTGATTAATCCTGTGTTGTTGAAATGGTTGGTGTATTTGATTTGATGATGGGAGCGGTCGTTTTCCTCCAAATGCGTTATTGTTCGTTCTATTCATGTAATTAATATTTCTAATTTTTGTGATTCGTCTATTTCCATCGGAATTGGTGGTTTCGGTTGCGTAGGTCTTGGCGGTGGATAATTAAATTGATTAGGCATTGGTAATTGTCTCGAAGGATAAACAGACATGATTTTGTATTGGAGATTGACAAAATTATTTTGAAATTGAGGATATTGGGGGTTTTGGTATTGCATATTTCTGAATGCTGCTGGTTGTACTAAATTCTGTACGCGATGGATTGGTTGGGGAATGTATGCAAGATTCGGATAAAAAGGTTGCTTTTGATATTGTTGTTTCATTAATGGAAGTGGGGGTGGTATTGGTTTTCGTGATATAGGTTGGTTGTTGAAAGCGTGCTGTGTACGGAAATTTTGATTTTGTAGTTTCATGCATAACTGAAGTGCTTGAGGTAAGTCAGTTGGTTCTTTTATTCCTATTGTAGTAATTTTGGAAGTTCGCCATTCAAACCTCTCACAAAAGTGTCTAATGCTTTATCGCGGTAAGTTTTAGTTAATATTAAATAATTAAAGATTCTTGACCTATGTCAAGACAGGCAATTTTATTCAATATTAAGGAAAGGTGGGAAAATACTTCTTGATAAAATTCGTTAATAGATTTATTTTCTTGGAAAAGTGAAGACATTTGGTATTCCAACGTACTGATGTTTTTTTGGTCTGCGTAATGCGTATTAAGGCATTTCGAAATTGCTTCTGAATTGAGCGGATTGTTATAAGACTCTAACGCTACATCGGCGTTCCCTGTTATTTTATTTCTTATGACATTCAAAATGCCAAAATAACGAGGTGTGCCTTTTTCGGATTCGTATAATCTCAAAATTCTCTCTACACTTTTCTTCCAAGACGCGAATTCTTTCGGATCGCCAGAAAAATCTCTTAAACACCTAACAACGTCTGGTACTCGGTCAAGTCCTGATAGGTTTTCTGCATATCTTGGGTCAAGTGTTTGGTCTGTTATTGTTTCCCTTCTTGGTTGAATAATATTCTCAATAAGAGCTGGGCCGTCTGTCGAAATAATTTGCGTTACGATATTTCGTATGATGTTGGATAGTTCTGGGGTAACTTGAGGATTGGATGGTGATGGTATACTGATATTTGGGATTGGAGGTCTAATTATGGATTCGGGATTACTCATTTTATAGAATTAAATTAAAAATTAAATTAAAAAGTTGATAGAAAATAAAGTAGAATATAATGTATATATAGCATATATAATACATATATGATTATGTTTGTTTAGCAATCTCTGGAGGGTCCAGTTTAGGTGAATCGCAGAGTTGTTCCTTATTATAAAGCCGGATAATCCCCCTTAAAGGTGGTGAATCGCGACTTTTAAGATTTAGTATTTTATTGGCTGTACAAGCCTTTATTTAATTTAATAATTTTGATTATCAATCTCTGGAAGGTCCCGTTAAGGTGAATCGCAGAGTTGTTTTGTATTATAAAGCCGGAGGGTCCCCCTTAAAGGTGGTGAATCACGACTTTTAATTTATAGTTTTTTATTGGATGTACTAGCCTTTGTTTTATTTGGATTATTTTACTTAAAAATGTTTATTAAATATCTTAAGTCTACACTTCTTTTATCCGTTTTAATTATCTCTCGTCTTTAATTTTTTCCTTTTTTATTTCTAAAAATAATTTTTCTTTTCTTAGATATCTTTGTTTTTCTTTTGTTATCTCCACTTTCTTTTTTCACTTCATCACTTTTAACAACGATTTTTCTTAAAATTTAATTATTTCTATAAGATATCTTAACTCTATGCTTACGGCGCATATTGAATACTCCTGTTTGCTGCTCGCTACTAAGGTTCTTTATCACGCACTCTTCGTGGGTGCGGGTTTTCTTCCACCGAAGCTATCACTTGTGGTGTACAAATCCGTATCGCTATCCTGGTGGTGCTTCTTGAGGACCTTTAAAGTCTTCTTGAGGGTTATTTTTTATGGATTTACGAACGCGATTGGCACATTGGGCGCCAGTTATACTTTTTTTATATTAATTTACATAAAAAATATTTTTTACGCGAGTTTACTGAGTCACAACTTAGGCTGATTATAATAATTTCTTAAACTTAAAATTAAACTAAGTCACATTGCCGCTGTCCTCAAAGGTGTTGTTGACTCAGCATTTGCACAGATGCACGTGTGGTGTCATTTGTCGGTTACCCGTGGGATACTGCTTACTGTGCAAGTCTCACCTGAAGCTTTAGTTTTTGGCAATAAAGCTATGTAGGTCAATTCCAGCGTATGTGGCCTTAACTTACATACATACATATGTGTAGGTAAAAAAAAATTAATTTTTATAAACTTTACAGAGTATGTTAAGTTTGCCACGATGTTTGTAACACCCACAAGTAACCCTATAAAATATATATATCTCTAAATGATCACCGTGGCGAGCTAAGTCGATTTAGCCATGTCCGTCTATATATGTATAAGCGAACTAGTCCTTTAGTTTTTGAAATATCGATCTGAAAATTTTACCACGTCCTTTTCTCCCGAAGAAGGTGCTCATTTGTCGCCGATATCGGACATCTCTAGAATATAACTGCCATACAAACTGAACGAAAGGAATCAAGTTCTTGTATTGAAAACTTTTTTGTTTGACAAGATAAATATCCTCCCGAAATTTGGCAAGGATTTTTATCCAAGACATCGCTACAATCTCCGAACATATTTAAAATTGTTCAAATCGGAGCACTTAAGCAAGCAGATGCCTCACTGATCAAAATCAAGATAAAGGTATTTTTATATTAAATATAAGAAATGATATGCTTTAAAATGCTTTATGCTATAACAAATTCACCTGTGAAGGGTATTAAAGTTTCGGTGCAGCCAAAGTTAACGTTTTTTCTTGTTAATAGCAAAATTCAGTACTGTACAATTTAGCTTGTGATAACATTCACTGATCGGCGTACGTTGATATGAGCAAGTTATGCACATACATATATAATTGTATATACAGGGAGGCGCACGAATCGTGCTATAAAAACAAACCCTAATAAAATGAATAATACTTGAATAAATCAATGCATTACAATTATTTTTTTATTGTATAGCAAATTTACTTTTATTTTATTTTATCTATTTAATTATTTTTAAAAAATATGGACCGTAAATGACCTCCTTCCTCAGCCACGCATATGCGACAAATAAGAAAATTATTCATTGCGGCCTGATGGGTTGAAGTCGGGACTGCCTCAATAATAGATTTAATGGACTGCTTTAATTCAGTCAGATTTTTGGGTTCCCTTTTTTTTTTTTGTACACCTCTTGCTTGACATAACAGGTCAAATGATCTTGGGGGTCAGCGTAAAGTATGGTTATTTGATATTAATTTGTTTTCAAATTTTCCTTGAAACTCCACAATAACCGGTCTGGCTATGTGTACATTTGCTTCATCTTGCTGCAACCAAACTCTATTAAAAGGAATACGTCTTCGGCGCAGTTCTGTGTAAAAAATCTCATTCAACATCTTTAAATAACGGTGCCCATTGACAGTTACTGTTACTCCGTTTTCTTCAAAGAAGTATGGTCCGACAATACACATTGATGAAACTGCGCAGCACACAGCGACTCGTTCTGGGTGAAGTTACGTCTCGTGGATTAGTTCTGGATTTGATTCACTCTATATACGGCAATTAAGCTTGTTTACATTTCCGTTTATATGAATATGGGCCCCATCAGACATAAACAGGCAATTTATTAGGTTATTGTCTTCTTCGGTCATTTAAATCATTTTTGGGCAAAATTTCAGGGGAATTTGCAAATCTAGAGGGTGTAACCGGTTTATTATTTGAACTTTGCACGGAAACAGGTTTAAGTCAGTAATAATTATCTGTTGTAATGACCGCGTGTCGAAACTCTTGGATTTGGCTAAATTAACGAAATGTGTCTTGAACACGAACAAACGGATCTCGATCTTACGGTGTTCTTGCGATACTTCCACATTCGACAAACATGTTTACCAACCTCATAATGGTCCATCTACTCCGGGGAATGACGCCAAAATCCCGTCTGAATTCCTTTTGGACGGAAATTACGGGCTGCAAAAAATGGTACCGCTGTACTATCCAAACCCTCTTTTCGGTATCTCAAGCATTCATTTTTAAATAATTTAAATAATAACCCGCCAAATAAAAAAAGATTAAGTCGATTACTTACACAAAAAAAGTTATTACGTTTATTTGTCGTGTGCCACCCTGTACAAGCACAATTGAAGATTTTCGTTCGGTCAGTGGAAAGTTTTCTTAAGTTGATTTGAAAACACATAAAAGCTTTAATTGATAACAAAAATTTGCGCAACTGCGGCGCATAAATTAGAAACAGCTCTGAAGAGGTCTTGTAGTTTCTAATTTTAGCAGAATTGTGGTTTTTAAATATACTTTTTACTTTTCTTTAAAAAAATCACATGTCATCATAGAAGCTGAATGAGAGAAAGGAAGAGTTTGCGAGCATTGAATAACAGCAAAACAAAAAGTTGTGATATTTGGGCGGTAGGGGGAAAGAAAAGAGGCCCGTCAATAAGCGAGCGCGGAACAATTTTTATTATCAGTTGTTATAAAGCGTGCGAAATAATCAAAAAATGTGAATTAATGACAAAAACAATAACACAACACGAGAAGGAGAGCACCAAGTTGAGCCAAAAAAGAGCAGTCCAGTGGAGAGATATGCGATCGTTCGATTGCTGATCAGTTTCAGTCATATGGTGGAGGCTTTGGCGCAAAGTACGATAAGCGGAAAACTAAAAACACACAACGAAATCAAAAAAAATTAAATTAAATACGAAATTTGAGGCACTTTCTTCATTAGAAAGTGAGTAAAACGTATTTTAATTACAGGTTTAAGTATTTTAAACGCTATAAATACTTTTTTCAATTTTACAGAACTTTAATTTGAATCCAGTATGTTCTTAAAATTATCCACGAAGGTGCGCTACATGAGCGCTCACCAACAAAAGCTCCAGCAAACCGCTCAAAAAGTAACACCACAACAAGTTTATGACCGAGAAAACAAATACGGCGCGCACAATTATCACCCACTACCGGTGGCGTTGACACGTGGCGAGGGTGTTTTTGTTTGGGATGTGGAGGGAAAACGTTATTTCGACTTTTTAAGTGCCTATTCGGCTGTCAATCAAGGTCATTGTCATCCAAAACTCGTAAATACTCTGACAGAACAAGCCAAGAAGCTAGCGCTAACATCCAGGTGAGTAAATATATGTATATATATTATATTTCTGTCAGAAATGACAGCTTCAGTGGGGTTTGGACAAATAAAAGTTTAATTTGTTTGTACACATTTACGTACGATGATTAAAAAAAGGAACCTTTATAGTTACTTATGTTCAGTTGATGGAAAAAGCCATGTTCATCTGTATAATGACATAAATACAATATATAGTAAATCGATACATGTATTTCTGTTATATTATATAAAAATCAATATGTGTATTGAATAACCGATAACCCCACATTTTGACGCTCAAATTATTTCAAATACGTATTTTAAAAAAATATGTGCTCATCCATGTACATACGTAGAATAAAAGCCCTCCATTGCTAAGCGATCAAGTCGTCAATCTATCTAATAAGCAATCAAAGGTGCAACGAGTAGGAAAGGGCTAAGTACGGATGCACGTTATAAGAATACGACTATAAAAAACTAAATGTTTTCAAAGATATGTAATAAAAAAACCGATGCCGGTTGTTTGACTTTGAGTGTCATTCAACCATTATCTTTCCTTAGTACTGTTAACAGCAACAATAACATCTAACATTTGGAAACATAGACACCTAAGTTTTCGTTGGATTCTTCTTCGCTCTTATCTTCCATCCGCAACAGTTGTTTTTTCGCTGAGAATCGCGATCCGTAGGCTATTATTAACCACCCATTAAATTTTATTCAATTTAAACATGTGATCTACAACTATAGTTATTGTAATCAAAATGTGTGTGTTTATAAATTGATTTCGTTGATAAGCAAAATAAATATAGAATTGCTTGGAAGTACATTTTTGATTATCAATATAAGCAGTAAGTATAAGCATAAATGATTAGTAATTTTAAAGCAAATAGCAGTGCAAACAAGTTTAAATGTAAACATCTAAAATTTATGAAGAACATTTTTTTGAGTTATTAACTTTATAGTTTTAAAAAATCACTATTAGCTGTAATTGTGGCATTATTACTCTAATTGCTCAAACATTACTTTAATGAAATATGTCAAATAGACATTTTGATTTCTAGTAAAACTATTTATTCCCAACCTTTACAACAATTTTTTTCGTAAATTTAGGATTAGGACCCTAGAACATGCTTATAATAAACTATCTCTAATAAGTTGGATATCGCATTTAAAATAAGTAAGAGCATTCATTGTAAATCTTGATAGAGTAGGTAATTGTAGTTAATATTATTGAAGATCCGTATTAAATCTAAAGTAAATATCATGAGTATGAAAACAACACTATAGGTCCACTGTTATTTTTTAACCTGGACTGAAAAATATTTGGCCTAACTTTGATTTCGACATCCGATCGATCTTATAACGAACAGTAATATTGATTATGTCGCCATGTACTTACTATCTGCAACCCAAAAATTGGATTTGGAATGATGTTTTTATATACTTATGTACATATGTATGTTTCATCCATCACAAACCGCCATAAAAACTTGTTCTTGCTGTGTTTGATCAGTACTAGATTGTCCTTTGAATCGATGTTCATGAATGTTCTTAAATGATTTGACATAACTAATTTACCCAAATTCATTTATCGGTCAACACATTTTCTCGTAATTATACTCTCGCAACCTGTTGCTACAGAGTATAATAGTTTTGTTCACCTAACGGTTGTTTGTATCACCTAAAACTAATCGAGTTAGATATAGGGTTATATATTATATATAATATATAAATGATCAGGATGAAGAGACGAGTTGAAATCCGGGTGACTGTCTGTCCGCCCGTCCGTGCAAGCTCTAACTTGAGTAAAAATTGAGATATATTTATGAAACTTGGTAGACATGTTTCTTGGTATCGTGAAACGGTTGGTATTGCAGATGGGCGTAATCGGACCACTGCCACGCCCACAAAACGCCATTAATCAAAAACAAATAAATTACCATAGCTAAGCTTCGCAATAAGATACAAGACTGTAATTTTATACACAGGATCATATTAAGGAGGGGCATCTGCAGTTTTTTTTTTTTAAAGTGGGCGTGGTCCCGCCTCTAATAGGTTTAATGTGCATATCTCCTAAACTGCTAATGCTATAATAACAAAATTCACTGCAAGAAAATTTTTTTAGCACTTCTATTGACGGTGTGAAAATAGTTGAAATCGGGTGGCAACTCCGCCCACTCCCTATATAACGGTACTGTTAAAAACTACTAAAAGCGCGATAAATCAAGCACTAAACACGCCAGAGACATTAAATTTTATCTCTGGGATGGTATGAGATGACTTTGTAGGAACCGCGTTCAAAATTAGACAGTGGGTGTGGCACAGCCCACTTTTCGGTGAAAACCTATATCTCGTGATCTGCCTAACCGATTTCAACCAAATTCGGTGCATAATAATCTTCTCATATTTCTATGTTATAGTGCGAAAATGGGCGAAATCGGATTACTACCACGCCTATTCCCATATAACACCATTTTCAATTCCATCTGATTGTTTCACTTTCCACTATGCATATCAAGCAACAATGATTATATCGGGGTAAAATTTTGCGTGAATAATACGTTTAAAGTATGCCACCTTGTGACCAAAAATTCCCTAAATCGAACCAACACTGTTCAAGCCCCTAAGTACTAAATATGTGGACCCCAGTGCCTATAGTTGACCTGCTACCGAAAATATCAGCCAATCCACAAAGAAATCTCAAACGAGTATACCATTTGACTTTGCGAGAGTATAAAATGTTCGGTTACATCCGAACTTATCCCTTCCTTACTTGTTTTTCTGTTGTTACTGTCTCTTGTGGCCTTCCTGAACAGATTGTATCATTTTTGCTGTTACCGTTATTACGACATTCAACAAACCGGTATTAGATACTTGAATATGCGGGGGCAGATTTCTCGTGAAACTTACTTGTACAAGGTGCGTTCCAAAGTAAACAGTACAAAAGTAACAAAGTAAACTCTAATGGCGCCATCTATATGTCGACTAGTGCGTTAGAATCTGCTATCCTTTATCGACTTCCAGTAAAAATTTCATGACATTTCATCTATAGGAAGTGAAGTTATTGAGTTTTAAGAATCAGTATGTTTTTGTCATCGGTGCGAAAATGAGTTTCGAACAAAGGCCAACATTAAGATTTGTTTTAAAATTGGTAAAACATTTACCGAAACTTTCAATTGATGAAACAAGTTTATGGCGATGATTGCCGAGGAAGACATAAATGAGAAATGAGCCGAAACACAAAAAATCGCGCCTGGAGAAGTCAAAAGTGAAGACAATGCTGATTTGTTTTTATGATTCCAAGGGTATTGTCCACAAAGAATTTGTTCCACCCGGCCAAAACGTTAATGCGGTATTCTATTCTTAGAGTTTTGAAGCGTTTGGTGCGCCGTATTCGACGTGTTCGGCCCGAATTTCGCGAAGAGGGAAGTTGGCGTTTGTTGAACGATAATGCGCCGTCTCATCGATCGACGCTTTTGGCCGATTATTTGACCAAAAATCACATTTCAACAATCAACCACTCCCCGTATTCACCTGATATGGCACCGTGCGACTTCTACCTTTTCGGAAAAATGCATTTGCCGATGAAAGGAAAGCGTTATGCAGACGTGGAGACCATTCAAAAGGCTTGCACCGGCATACTGGCGGCCATACCGGGCAACGAGCTAAAACACTCGTTCGACATGCTTTTGGACCGTGCAAAAAGCTGTATTAAAACAGAAGGAGACTATTTTGAATAAAATTAATTGATTTTGCCGATAAAACCATTTGTTCTGTCTTTTTTTTAAAGTCCTGTTTACTTTGGAATGCACCTTGTATAAAAACATTGCTTTGCAGCAAACGGGGTTCTTTCCCAACGGATATTTTTTTTTTTCAAAGCGTGAAGTTCACTTCTTTTATTGTAAGTAGTCCTGAAACTTTGTCAGTATTTAAGTTAAGAGTAAGTTAAGTTACTTTGGCTTTAAAATATATGTGAGTATGGTTCTGAAATATTGTTATCTGCCAATTAACTCAGCTTTAACCACCAAGCACCCTAGTAGATGATTTTCGAATATTTCATATCCTTACATTTTCCTATATTTAAAGTATTTCGAAAGTTACATATATAAAACCCAATAAAATAAAAATACTTGTATTAATTGCTATCATAATGGTTTATCTATTTTCAGAGCCTTCTACTCCGATGTGCTTGGCGAATATGAAGAATATATAACAAGACTCTTCAACTACGACAAAGTTTTGCCAATGAACACGGGCGTGGAAGGTGGAGAAACTGCTTGTAAAATTGCACGTGCCTGGGCATACATGAAGAAGCAAGTGCCAGACAACCAAGCTAAGGTTTATAGAAACTCCTAATTAAAACTCCAAAGTACTTACATATATATTAAATTTTTAGATCCTATTTGCCGAGAATAACTTCTGGGGACGCACCTTATCCGCGATTTCAGCGTCAACAGATCCACTGAGTTATGAAAACTTTGGCCCTTATATGCCGGGTTTCGAAATAATCAAATATAACAACACAGAATCTTTAAAGGTGGCTTTTAATATTACTCTCTCATAGTTACGTATATTTTATATTTAACGCTACAAATTTTGCAGAAAGCTCTACAAGATCCCAATGTTTGCGCATTCATGGTTGAGCCAATTCAAGGCGAAGCCGGTGTAGTGGTCCCTGATGCTGGATATTTGAAAAAAGTTCGAGAGCTGTGCACAAAATATAATGTACTGTGGATCGCGGATGAAGTGCAAACCGGTCTGGCGCGTACTGGACGAATGCTAGCCGTCGATTATGAAGATGTTAAACCCGATATCTTAATTTTGGGTAAAGCACTTTCGGGTGGAATGTATCCCGTCTCGGCTGTTTTGGCTGACGATCCAGTTATGGAGTGCATACAACCAGGTCGTCACGGCTCAACTTACGGTGGAAACCCTTTGGGTTGTAAAGTAGCGCTTAGCGCATTAGAAGTGCTGCTGGAAGAGCGTCTGGCGGAAAATGCTGAAGAAATGGGAAATTTACTGCGCAGCGAACTCGACACTTTGCCTAAAGATGTTGTGAGCATCGTACGCGGCAAAGGTCTTCTCAATGCTATAGTTGTCAACAAAAGTGAGCTTTAAAAAGTTTTTTAATTTTTTGCTATAATACAAATATTAATTATTTTTTAGAATACGATGCTTGGGACATATGCCTGAAATTGCGTGATAACGGTCTTCTTGCCAAACCCACACATGGCGACATCATTCGCTTCGCACCACCACTGGTAATTACCGAGGAACAGACGCGCGAGTGTGCCAAAATCATCAAGAGCACAATACTGAACTTTTAAAAGCCATTTGGGAAAAATTCTTCAAAAATGGTATTATATTCCGAATATTTAGTTATGTAAGAGCAGCATTTAAGGCACAATAAGGTGTGAAATTTAGCGGATTCTATTGAGATTTAAATTAATTATTTAATTTTAAAAATATATACACAAATGTATGTAATATTTACTTCATTGTGCTATGCAATCTAAGCTTAATGTAAGGTGTCGTGTCAAACACCAAATGTAATTAAGTGAAATTTAAAGCAAATATTTAAAATTTCTCATTTTATGAAAGATAGTCTACTCAACCTTTTTTGCGCTTCAATAAATATTTTATATAAAGCACTTAGTAAAGAAAAAATCATTGACTGTTTTGATCTTTTGATGTTAACCACCCACCAGGAAGAGCCAACACACATCGCTAGCTCACAATTGACTAAAGTGTGTCAAATATGGTGAACGCTATAAAAAATTTCCCCCACCACTCTCGCACGTAAAGTGTCAATGTCCGTCAGTAAAAGCAAACAAAAGGCCGTTTGAATTCCAGAAAAAACAGTGCAAATGCAAACGGAAGTGAAACATTGACAGAAGATGGAAGATGTCAACTTCAAGCGACGGTCCAAACCATAAAGATAAACATTAAACGCCCTAGCCATAGACAAACTTCTATAAAAATGTGTAAAAAATGGGTGAAAATGCAGCGAAATAAATTAAAAAGTCTAATAATGCAAATATTATACTTGAGCGCGACATTATGAAAATATACAAAGCACTTCCGTTGCGATGTGATGCCACACGGTGAAGCACATAATTAGCGATTTTAACATTTTAATTAAAAAATAGAAAAGGACAATGTATTGAAAGTTATCCAAACGAAAAAATTGCATACATACATACATTTATGATTTTTATGTAGTAAACGCCGTCGCCGAGAATTATTTTGAACGTCTTGAGAAGAAGAAAATGAACGACAGTAAAGAGTAAAAGTGAAGAAACACCAACACATATAGTTAATAAACGACCATCGGCTAGTATATGAGAATATTATGGTTGATTCACATATGTTTCACTTTTGCTTTATTGTGCTTCTTTGACGAAAAAGTTCATTGTATGCTTTTGTATGAGTACTTTCACATCAAGACGAAGCAGAGCAAAGCGAAGCTAATGGTGGGCAATCTCTCATCTTCTTGTCAAGCAACATCCGTTATTTTTATTATTAAGGACGACTCAAAAGTTCTCTATGTGAATTGGCCAAAAAGAGTTAATTCTAATTAAATTAATCAAGTCATTCAAAAGCAGCAAAAATTGTGATTATTCGACTCTGGTATCAGCCACGCCTAATATAAAGAAATAAAAAAACTGTCAGTCGTTTTCGAAATTGTTCTCCTCTCTTGAATATTCCGCTGATATGAAATCTAAAGAACTCAAAGTTTCATTTAACTGAGGCAGTTTCAAAAACGATTGCGTTATTTCATGTTAATAGGGCAGCTACTTGCCTAAAAGTTTTATATAGTATAAATGAAAAAAAAGGTTTTGTAAGGAAGGGCTAAGATCGGGGGAAAAAATAATATTCTTCTCTCGTAAATTTCAAGAGTATAACCAGTTCGAGCTAGTGGAAAGAAGTCTGTAGATATGAACATCCGAATACGGAAACCAAATTTTCATTACATGGGTGCCAGGAAAATTGTTGCATTACTTACAGTTTCAAACCGACACTCAATCCAAACTCTTGCGGTCACATACTTAAACCTTTAAGCGAGATGGTTACTAAAATTAACTTTATTAGGACTACCACGAGGCATTCGATTTAACCATCCAAAGATTAAAGCAGGCATCTGTCTATAATTAGGTCCGACTGACTGCGATCATATACAGAATAGGTATGTTTAACATAAGTTCTGAGCTTGGAATCTAGTATGTAAGTAGAAAAGCTTTACAAAACCTCTGTTATATTGTAAACAAGTTCTATTTTGGCTCACCTACTCAGGTTTATATACTCAAATCCTCTCTCGGTGAACAAAAAACTAACAGTTTTGAAGTCTCTTATCAACGGCTCTAGGGTGGTTCTGCAAATATGGGGTATTTATATATCCCATAAGAGGGTATGAAAAACTTGTAGATTCAATCATTGTCTTTTAAAGTTTTATCGTATTGATCATTTTGAACAACCGTTATGTGAATAAATCTAGTCAACTATATGTATACTCTCCGTATTGAAAGTCAAATCAAATTCCCTTGGAATTCACATAAATAAGTAGCTAAAGGTATTTTAGTTACATTTTTAATTGCTCTAATTTTGAGCAAATTTTGCCACATTTACGCCTAGCAATTCAACTACCGGCTAAGCATTGCGCTGACAAAAATTAACTTTTTATCCTGCTGAACTAAAAAAATACGTCAGCACATTCATTGGAATTTCATCAGTTCGAAGTATGCTGTTAAAGTAGAAAATCACGTCTGGTTTCCGGTGCAACACTTCCTTTTTTAATTTTAACGCTTTATTTAATTATGTTGAAGATGACGATAAGATGACGACGACGTCGGGTCGACACAGACTAGACTACTTCAAACTGCAACTGTTTAATATAATCAAAGGAAAAAATCTGTTCGCTTTTGGGTGAAAATCTTCACCAAATATGTGGCAACGAAAAAGAGAACGGCAGCGATTTGTTGGCATTTTTTATGATTCGCCTTTTTTATATTTTAATAAAGACATCTTGTCGGACAACAAAAGTTCAAACAAGTGGCGATAAAACCATAAGATTATGGCACCCTCGGTGCAGCCTCCCCAACCGCTACACCGTGCTAAGCACCTTGTGGATTTGTAGAGCGTAATGTCCATTTGATGGCCATTTGTGTGCACACACACACGCACATGCACGCTACTGTACATAACGACATGCAATTGGAGGAGTTGGTAAAAGTTGGAAAAAGACGATGGCGTATGTTGATAAGCCAAAAACTGTTGAATGAAATAAATTCTTGTAAAAAAACACTGAAAAACATTTCTATTTTTTTATTTTATTTTTCTTATTGTGCGTGTAATACCGCATTGCACACTTGCCAGCTCTACATTTGCGCTTATAGCGGGATATTTCACACTTCCCGTTGCTATAAAATTGCGGAAGTGTTAAAAGTTGCATTCGTTACAGATTTATTATTTTCTAGTTAGCGTTTTATAACTTTAAAGATAAGATTGTAAAATAAATTGCTTAAAAACTGCGTTATTTATTTAGGACCGCAACATCAACTTAATTAAAAGTTAGCCAAGTCATCCAAAGTTACGTACAAATAATAGACATAAAAGCCGAAAAATGCAGAAATTCAAGATATTTTCAATAATTTTTTCAATTAGAGGGGTTAGGCCTGTTTAGAACCCACAAAAAATTCCCCACTTTGACAATTTCTTCTGGGGGTAAGTAACATATTTCGATTACAAAAAGTAAATATTGTAGTTAATAAAAAAGTAGCAATAATAGCAAAAAATCTTACAGAATTTTCGAAATAATGTTATTGTGAAATTTGTGCTTTTTAGTAAATACGTGCAATAGTCTCCGAGAACCATCGTCGATCAGTTAAAAAAAAAACATGTTACGTACTGCAACTGACTGAAAGGAACACTTTGACACGGCCAAAAATAATTAATTTTTTAAAATCTTATATTGAGCTAACCATATCATATATTTTATCCTACACCAAAATTACTTTTTTAGGCATTTAGCATCCTACCGTTTTGATTTGGTTACCTTTTAAAATATTCCAAACACGTTCACCATAATCTACCTCAAATTGAGTGCAGGTCTTCCATTTAACTGCTCCTTCTCTTGTGCATCCACCTGACTCAATTCATGCCAACGTGTCTTGACTTTATCACCTTTAATTGCCAAATTATTTCCAGCGTTATTTCAACAAATTTCCTTCCGGTAATTTGTGTCCCCTCACAAAGTTTGCTATATTGATTTCAATTGATTGTATTTACACAAATTCACTACGAAGAAATAACAGCAAAGTAGGTAGTGATACTAGAAATAAAAAGCATCCCCCATTTTTAACTGGCCGAATAAGTCATTATGCGAGCTATACATAAAAATAAACAGTTCTTGATTTGCTTTGTTTACAGAAAGCATTCGATCTCTAGCAGATAGTATTTAAATTTGAGATTGTAAAGGACATCCACTATTTTTTACCTAATCCTGCACTCCTCTTTGTAAGACTTTATTTAGCTACCTTTTTTACCCTCATGCCATTATTTTTCAGATTTGCTTACTTAATTGTTGTTTTTTTACAATAACTATAGAATAATCAAGTTATCCGGTCATGTAGATGGTGTCATGTAAAAAAGGAACATACGTGGTTTAGGTATTTTTTAAAAGTGGGGAGAGTCACACCAACGCAATCTCGGAAACAAAAAAAAATCAAATATTACTTTCCAACTTATCAAACGGAGCTGGCTTATCAGCATAGGCCATTGACCTGACATCGTCTACAATACGTCATCTAACCGAGTCAAATCCAATTGATCTTGACTTGTTAAACTGTCCTACTGGAATTACTTCATGAGGTCGCGAATCGTAAGTCTTTAGTTCTCACTATTAGCGGTACGGTTGCATTCAGTTTGCAAGGGAGTCTAGAGACTATCTTCAGGTTTATTTGTCTGTAACGCTAATGATAGTAACACTGACTTCAACTTGCAAAAGACCCTGGATAGCCTCCTCAGGGTTGTTCGAACTTCCCTAGAAAAATTTTTTCCTATTTACCCGCCTATGTATTACCCCAAAAATGTACAACGTAGCTAATCTAACCGAAGTACTCTGCACTTTTACAGATCTATGGTTTGCCACACATATCGAAGCTTTTAAAAAAACACATCATCATTCAAATAAATAGACAATATTTCGAATAGTGGATATGCCATGCAACAGTAAAATATACATTAAACCTTGTTGAGCCAGAGAACTTAAAACCTGCACCTTCTCATTATTTTAAGTTCTCTGGTTGAGCTCTATAACATATAACTAAAGTCTAACTAGGTTTAGAATTGAGGCCACAACAAGTATATATTGGAAAGACATTAATGTGAGAACTATATTACAAATATTCTATTTATAATTTTATTTAATTAAAAATAAAATAATCGGCGAACCTGAACTTTTGCTTTCAATCCAGTACGAACAGGTAAACTTAACATTATATCTAAAGAATTATAAATAGATGTCCTTCAGGATCAACAAATCTCTAATCCCTGTAACCAACTTAGCAATAATAATTTAACGGAATAATTATAAAAAGATTCTTTTATATTATATATAATAATATTAGACTCACTACTTTTAAAGTCTTGAAAAAATTTAAAAGGGATTAACT